TATCCCCCCAAAGGGACAACAGCCCAAAAAAATTTGTGCCCTTTCATTTTTTGGATTAAATCCCTTCCTTTTCCATTGCAAATTTTTTGGTACAAATATGCAAAGAAGTCGATAACTACCAGAAGTTTCTGCAAGGTTTTACAGCCAGGGTTTTGCGAAGGGAAAAAAAAAAAGCGAGTTTTAACAAAAAAAACAGACTGGAAAACGCAAAAATGAAAAAAATCAATGAACTACCCCGAATTTTCCCCAAGAGTTTAAAGCCAGTGTTCACGAAGCAAAACAAAAGCCATTTTACAAAAATTAAAAAAGACCGTTTGAACTGCAAATATGCAAAAAAAAGTCGATTAACCCCCAAAATTTTTCCAAAAAGAGTTTTCAGCCAGTGTTCGCGGGAAACAAAACAAAAAGCCAGTTTTACAAAAATTTAAAAAACCGTAAACGCAAATATGCAAAAGAAGGGGGATGGGAAATACCGAAGTTTTCCCCAAAAGTTTACAGCCAGTGTTTCCCCAAACAAAGCCAAAAACCAGTTTTTCAAAAATTAAAAGACTTTGGGAAAATGCAAAAAAATGAAAAGAAAACGATTACCCACCAAAGTTCCCGCAAGGGGGTTTTTCAGCCGTTCGCGAAAAGCCAAAACAAAAAAATAGTTTACAAAAAAATTAAAAGAAACCCTAGCCCGCAAATAGCAAAAAATGGATGAATTCCAAAAAATTTCCGCAAAAATTTTTAAAGGGGGGCCAGTGTTCGCCAAGCAAAGCAAAAAACTAGTTTACAAAAAATTTAAAAAGATTTTTAGAACTTTCCCAAAAATGCAAAAAAAAGTCGATGGGAATACCAGAAAATTTTCCCCCAAAAAAAAGGTTTTTCCCGCCCGTGTTCGCGAAGCAAACAAAAAACTAGGTTTTCAAAAAAATTTCCCGACCGTTTGAAAAAAGCAAAAATGCAAAAGAATGGATTTAAATTCCAGAAGTTTTCTGCAAAAATTTACAGCCAGGGGAGGTTTAGTTAGTAAATTAAATATTATTTTCATCCCCTTACTCTAGAGCTCGCGAAATATCTTGACACAATTTATCCACAGTGTGGTTGCACAATTTATGCATAGTCAATATGAAAGCAATAGTTTTCTTCAAACACAAGATAGTTTGGGCACCTGACAACTGTCGATATTCTCCAGATATGGCTTCTAAATTACCTGTTTGTATTATCCCTAAAAGTAAGATTTCTACATTTAAAGTAGAAAAGTAATAAACAGCCAGTTCCCAGAAATCCAACTACTGACTAGAAACAGTGACACACACATCCAACACGACTGTCTTCCATGAATTAAAATCAAAATTAAAATTGCTGTATATCGACTTATACAATATCCGCTTGTAGATTTGTAATACGAATACGTTTAGAAACAGGATGTACGACATACTTTTGTAAGATGCTCACACACAATGCAACATGGAAACGATGCCAGTAACCTATTTTCGAGGGGGACTCCCCGAAAATGTACCGTGGTTCAGTTGGCAGGACTGAAAGATACAGCTGGACGTGGCTAAGTCAACTTGGGAGTCAAGGTCATTTGAATAAAGTCCTCATCGATGCAGATTTAAACCGGACCGGCAGGCCAGCATTTAGACAAAAAGCGCTATCGCCGTTCACAATAAATAAAATCGTTCTACATTTATTATTTCTTTATATCATAGTCAGGCAGTCCTGTAGGAAAAAAAATAGAGACTTATGAGTTGAAATTCTATAGAAAAATTCTCAGAATACAATGGACAGTGAAGAGAAGAAATATTGACGTTCTAAAAGATCTGAACATGGAGGAAGATTGACTAGTATACAGTATCTTGTCTCGGAAATTGAAATATGTTGGCCATATCAAGCTCTATGGCAGACTAGAAAGAAAAAAATAACAGCAGAAGGCTGGTCCAGGAAAGAGGGGCAGGGGCTGACCAGCCCGAAGATGTACATCGGGCATGAGTGACACCTGTGATAAGAAAGTCACGAGGAGAGAGAATGGCCGAGAGACCGAGTTTCTTTCAGGCAAACTGATGAGAGGGACTTTATGGGAAGAACCTGCGGCATCATCATATCTAGCTACCAGCTGTTCTTCTTCTTCTTCTTCACTTCCTCTTTTACCGCTGTGGGTGTCGAGGGAGATATAAGGTTCTGTTTCTAGCTCTTCTGGCTGCCTCGACCATAGGCACATCGTGCTGTTTTAGAGTTTCTCTGATGTTATCCTTGCATCTTGTTCTTGGTCTACCCCGTGCTCTACGTCCTTCTTCTCTTTCCATGTATGCTTTGTATGGTATGGTGTCACAAGGCATTCTCTCTAAGTGGGCAAACCATTTCACTTGCTGTCTTTGTATGTAATCCAGAATTGGTTCTGTGCCGACTTGTTCTCTTATGATCTCATTCCTGATCTTATCTCTTATGGTCACTTCTACAGCCCTTCTCAGACATCTCATTTCCGTAGTTACTAATTTTCTTTTATGGTTTGTTGTGAGTGACCATGTCTGGCACTGGTAGCACAGAGTTGGAAGAACTGTTATCAGCTGTTACACGAAATATTTCTTACATTTTCCGGGCCGCAGATTTAGAAACAGGTTGAAGAACACGCTGCTCTGTAGCCATCTATCTTTAGTATACACTGTGTCCGTAAAGCCATAGTGCACTTTTGACCGGTCAAAGGAAAACAACAAAAGAAGACAGAAATTGGAAATCTTCACCAAATGAAACGAACATCTCCAAGTTTCGCAGTATGACGTGCAAGGGTGTGTACAAAACTTGGAGAGTTTTCCTTTCATTTGGTGAATATTTGACATTTCTATCTTGTTTCGTTGACTTCCCTCGGACAGGTCAAAAGTGCATCATGACTTTACGGACACACGATTATTGCTCCAGTACAATCACATGTAGGATGTTCGACTCAATCTGCTCCTGAGGGTTGTACTGTGGCCAATGCTCTGTTGCTCGCTGTCTCTGGGCTTGGCGCGGATGTGTTTGCAGATGTGATGATGCCAGTTTTCCGGCAGCAGAATCAGGAAGACTCCTGTGGTGATCAAAACCAAGGCAGCGATCTTCATTCCAGAAAATTCTCGGCCCTTCCATATCGTGTCAGCAGCTGTAGAAAATTAGAGAAAAAAAATAAAAGACATTGATGTTATCTTGCTAAAGAATAATGTTTTGGTTCTATTTTGGGATGCCACTATTTAAAACTAATGGTATATGAATAATTCTAATAGGCTGTGAAATGTTAAGCTCTCACATTTGGGAGCAAGATTGTAATTACTGACTACGTCATCACTTTTTAGTGCCACCTATGGCGTGTGTTAAACCTGAGGAATTAAGACCGCATGGCTGTGTAGACGCCACAAACTGTGCAGGTGAAAAAAAATTGTTTTGGCCACAGACAGACAATAATATTTAGTACAGTATAGAAACAATACACATTCGGTCGAAAATACACCGGCAAATGCCTACTAAAATAGAGAATTGTTCTAATCATCAATAAGCAAAATCCGTACCAGCGAAGAACTGTAGGTGACACCAGATTAGCCTAGCTGTTACTGGTGATCCAATTATAACTTCTTACGAAGTTGAACAGGGTATCTGGGATTTGTGTTGTTGGTTTGCCATGCACACAGTAAGATTTTGTAAACTCAACTCTCAGGATGAGGAAAGGGCAGGGGGCCAGCTCCCTTTACTTCCCAAGACATTGCCTAGTACCCATTTTAGTCTAGATCGACCTGCGAACCAAGGTCTGTTAGAAGATATCAATTAGTCTCAGTGCGGATTTGAAATGAAGACTTTCGGACCCACAGTTAGCTATTTAGCCGTATATATATATATATATATATATATATATATATATATATATATATATATATATATATATATATATATATATATATATATATATATATATATATATATATATATATATATATATATATATATACACACGGCTAAATAGCTTTCACATGCAATGTCTAAGAAGAATACTTGACATTAAGTGGCAGGACAAGATCACAAACACTTATGTATTGGGAAGAGCAGATAGTGCAACAATTTTCTAAATGCTCAGTATCCTAAATTCGAATGCTCAGGTGGCTGATTCACACGGGCGGGAGCAAATGGAGGATGAAGGAGGAAATGAATTCACACCAGACAGCACATGGAAAACTTTAGTCATATGCACCTTACAAGATGCTGGGAAATCTGGATGTGGCAAAGGTACTTTGGAAACTAGAGAACAGTGCGGAGCCACACATGGATTAACTCGGTGTGAAGAGAACGGCGCAGCGGGAGAGTAGCTAGGCGGTCTGGCAGACACTCAACACTCAGCGGAAAGGCAAGACAGACGTACTGTTAGTCTTCTTCTGGTTCTCTCTCTCTCTGAGACAGAAAATAGAGATAGAGAGAGAGAGAGAGAACGAGAGAGAGAACGAGAGAGAGAACGAGAGAGAGAGAGAGAGAAAGAGAGAGAGAGAGAGAGAGAGAGAGAAAGATAGAGAAAGAGAGGGGAGAGAGAGAGTGAGAGGAAAAGAGAGAGAGAGTAATACTAAACACTTTCTTAAAAACATGAAGTGATAGGACAAAATTATAAAAGAACATACTTTAGCACACCCAGCTAGTAAATGCAGTATAGGTCCTTTTTCTTGAAGTTGTGGAAAAGAGTCCTTTAACTTTTATAGGTCCCTTTGCCGGCTTAGGTTCGAAACCGCAAGCATATGATATGTTTTTTTAAAAAAAATTGACCTTGCCTCCGAGACCGACCTAGATAAATGGGTACCAGATAATGTCCTTAGAAGTAAAGGGGGCCGGCATGTTGTTGACCGCAAAGGACATCGGATGAAGATTGGGTTATAAAATACAAATCTAGCACCTTGAACCGGCGACTTAACAAGGAAACAGTACTTCAAAACAATAATAATACATTTTTAGATATAAGTGTTTGCTAAAGAAAAAAAAAATGGCCACGTTCAACCAGCATCTCTGAAGGGGGAGCTTAAGGTTATAATTGTGGCTAGGTTATGTGCGCCATATAAAATGGCTTAGCATTGTCCGCCACCAAGAACCTTAAAAAGGACTCTTGCAGAGTTGATACGATCAAAGGAGACAGACCCAAATACTGTCCCGAGTAGCGTCGAAGTAGTCTACCGGCGAGCCGATGGGCGACCCAGTTGCCAATATTTTTATATGTGACAGAAGTCTGTAGAAAGTATGATTAGCAAGGTACGTCGTTAGTAAAGCCGCAAAAGAGGGCGTTTGAAGAGAACAACGACAACCAATGGCGGGGCATGCATGCAACCGCTGTCACCGCTACTGATACTTTTCAATGGCAAAGAGAAATGCTATTTACTTCCTGGTATTACTATTTACTATTTGTTACAAATACGCCATTCGAATTAGGTCTCGAAAGTAACGAAAACAAACCTTTCGTTGAATGCTTACGCTACTCATACAGAAACTGTAACATGTAAAAGCTACCAGTTACTAGTAGTACGACGCTAGTTGTGCACGCATATTCCCAGCAGCGAAGCCACAAGGAGAAAAATATCACCCGACACCCTCACCGATACAATCGTTATCCGCTAACGCTTACATATGCGAACTGCTTGCGCCTCACCGATCACAACAACAAACCCAGTAACAACAACAACAACAACAACAACAACAAACAAGTGGGTGGTCTTTACCTGTACAGACAGTGGTTTATAGCCATAAGCCTAGTACCTAGGCCCATGCCGGATACACATAGGGATACGCAGTTGCCACCGGTCTGCAACTTCTTTCAGCAGCAGAATATACGGAAGAGACATACAACTGATGTAAGTCATTGTGGTATTGTACAGGTAACATAAACAGGCAACAACGGAAAAAAATAAAGTAAAGGACCCTTTTCCCGCCTTTAAAGGGGATAGGGGTATAGGACTAGACCCCATATTTTGATAGACCAATCGACAAATGGTGATGGGGGTCAGTATACGCCGCCCCCTTCACTTCCCGGGGGCGCACCGGTACCCACTCAAGCTGGGGCGACCTGGGAGCCAAGGTCATTTTTAA